TCAAGTTACAAAGATTTCCCGTGTGATTTCGTCAGACAGATCTCTTTTTATAATCTCACTTCAAAGCTGTACAGTTATTTAAGGGGTTCATATACACGGCAACAAAGATTATTCGTCATTGTAATCTAAAACAATTAGTTCTCTTTATGAATTTAGATAAAGCAATAAGAAGACGTAATTTGTCTGAATCGTGTAATGTATTTGCGCGCACAACACATTTCGAACAATCTGATCACACACGGACTTATCATAGGAGAACATATATATACATATATGTGAAGTTAATAAAGAGTTAAGAGGTGAGAAAACTGCTTAGGTCAAGTCAAAAGGACACATTGAACGTCGAAATAACAATCAAGACCACTAAACCAAATAGCAGAGGTTATAGTACGTCTGCTACGGTATCAAAACAAAATTTACCAAGGAAGATTTAATGTGATGACGAATTGTTTTTGAACGCATAAAAGTGGTTTAAACTTTCTAATTGCCAGCTAGGGCTTTCACAAAGTTTAGGATACGCCCCAAACACGTTTTTTGGATAGGTTTAAAAGATCTGTTAACGTCAATTTTATGTCCTATCTCTATAATATGTTTTGCGATAGAGGGGCTATGTCTCCTGTTCTCACCATTAATAGCTTCTGAAGATTCCATTTGTTTCTGGAACCATTTAGAAATATGCTCTGAAGCCAACCCTCACTTGCAGATATCGATAAGTCCTCCCTATGTATGTATGTCCACACGTACATTCAAACTGGTAAATAGAGTGGGATGTGACGTCATTTTTCGCATGTTCGAAGGGCTTAGATATAATGGCTTTACATTCTCTATTATTATGATATTAGCTGCATAAAAAGTATTTTTAACAGCAGCGTTCAGTCTTTGTCTAGTTATCAAGCTGTTTTGATGCCCCATATAGGGTAGCTTGATGTACACGTCTTTCTTAGGGGAGAGTTGGAGAGTGGGTCTTGGTGTTCTGACTACTTTATATCTCCTGAGGAACTTGTCTGGATAATTGTTATCAACCAGAGTTTGTGTCAACTTTCTTTCTTCTTCATCAAGTGTGTCTTCAGGGCATATTCATCGGATTCTACTGAAGAGCACCTCGCTCACTAAGGCTCTTTTGTACCGAACAGGGCAGACACTGTGGTAATTAAGATACTGTCCTGTCTAGGTAGGTTTTCTATTAATAGATCTTTTTATTGACCCACCAAGCCGTCGACTGAGCAATATGTCTAGGAACGGTAAACAATTATCTTCCTCTTCTACAGATGTAAGTGATATCCTATTCTGAACTTCATTCATTCGATTTAAAATTGAGATGGCAGAATAAAACTTATCACTGATGATTACGATATCATCTACATACCTTCTATAAAGTGGCACATTTTCGGTTAAATCCTTCGATAAATTCTCAATGTATGACTTATAAATATCTGCTAAAAGGCGCCCTAACGGACTTCCCATAGCAAAATCATCAACCTGGCAGAAACAATCACCTTCAAATATAAACCTAACATTGTCAGTAAATCCCTTTAGTAAGATATAAGGAACGGGATGAAAAAATTGTTTGTGGAAATATAATCACACAAAATGTCAACTGTTTTGAGCAAAGGCACATTAGTAAATAACGAGTGTACAACAAAAATCTGAGTTTATCAGAATTAACAGTGCATGGATAATCATGAATATTCCTATTTAATCAAAAGTGCTGACAACTAATTACTTAAGTAACGAATAATCCTTTGGAAATAACCGATAAGAATCAAAATAACAAAAGGCTAAAAATGATTTACAAAAAGAAAGGAAAATGACTCAATAGAGTGTGTTTTTTATACAACAGTTTGGGAAAACATAATTGATACTTAAGCCACGGTAGTTCAAGAGGCTGGATGAAACGTTTAACACAAAGTTAAGGATTTTTCTTATGGTTTGATTACTAAAGCTTTAGCTCCATAAAGAAGTGAGCGAAATCCTTTTGAATAGCTTGATCGTATCTTTAATATGTCTCAAAATGTCATGTCAGCTGATGCTGCGTGACTAGAGGTAATGATTTGCCTCAGAATTTATCTGTTAATTGCTTTGCGTTCCCCTTTCGACAACCACGCAGGTAAGCTTTCATGAACGCGTCTAGAAAGCAATACTATCTGATACTGCTAGATGTCTAAGGAAAACCATATTCAGTCGCCAAGATGCTTCAAAACAGAAATGTCACTATTTTCAGCTTACCATAAATAGTGAATCCATCTGTAAACTGTTTCGAGAATAGTTATTCTAAGATTCACTAGATAAAGTCCTTACTTGTTCAACGCCAAAACGCCAGAAATTATAAAGTGTCTACAAGCCTCTTCAACTTTTGCTTTTATAGACCTTTTTGTCTAGGAAAAATTCATTTAAAATATTTTATTTACTTACTAAAAGGAATATGAAGCAAACACTTTCATCCACTAAGTTTTATCAATACTAAGTAAATATTTGTACTATTGTTCATTTCTCTATTTCACTTAGAAAGAATTTCAGTCTTTATTTCTACCCCATTTCACTGACTACTGCTAACTGTAGACTCCGTTTTACTACCTTGTCATATGCGTTTATTTATTATCTGAACTGTCAAATTTCCAATTCGTGGTATTCAGTGCTTATAGGTAATTTTATATCCGTCTCAAATATGGTTTACAAGAGATGAATAAAATGGCTGTGATAACAGAAGACGGAAAGAAATGACTGCTAAACAATGAAACAGGCTATGTCAAAAAGAATAGTTTGCAAGTAATTGAAAGTGAAAAATTTACGATCAGCATCACAGGATGAGTTTCACCACACTGACAGCCAATTAACCCTTAAAATTTAAGTGCTGATGTGCAGAGATTTGATTGGCTTCAGAATTTTATCATGAATTGACATCCGTTAGAGAACCTTTAGAAAGCCAACAGGGAGCTGTTTCATCTTAGTTCATGATGGAATCCTGAAAGCAATCAAATCCCTGCAAGCCACCACTTGAATATCAATCCCCCTATTCAAGAAAGTATTTGCCTGAGTTCTAGTGAGAAATCATGACCACTGGGGTACAGCAGGTCGAGTGTGAGGACAAATATACACCGAAGACATTGTCTAGTGATTGCACTATGTCGTGGATTGGCAGAAGTTGGAGTTCATAGACTAGTCATTGGATCAGGTTCTAGTGGCTTAATGGTCTACGACCTAGCTTGCCTTGCAACAAGAAGGTCCTGGGTTTGGACCGTGGCGGTGGATGCGTAGTATTAAAAAGTCCCAAACTAGGCTGAGGGAACAGCTGTCCAGTACTCCCAGTTGGTCTTCTAATGGTCCTGTAGACTTTCATCTGTGTCGTTTCTTACATTTCCACTGATTGATGTTCATAATTTTACATTAGTGAAAATAAAGCGTCGCCAGAAAACAGACATTTTAATATTACCTTCAGATGTATTAATTTGATGATATTCCACTAACTAGGACCACTGTGTTCTAGGTAAGCAATTAAAACTTTTCACTATCTATCTTGTGTTTAACTTACCTGGGAAAATAAATAAATACTGATGTTTACCAATTTTTATCACTTATCTGATGTCTTCATTAGCCTTGTACCGCTTACTATATATCTTCCCTCCGAGATATAAAACTAATGAGGATCATAAAAGTTGTAGAAATATCTCAATAACCACTTGTTTAACGGCGACTTTAAGTAATTTCCTCGGAACTATTTCAATCGAATTAATTGATCACTCATTTAGTAAAGTTGACGCTAGGCCTAAAACTGAGATATGGAAAATGTGAATACTTATAAAAGCAGAAAGCAAAGTTAAACAAAGTAAGAAGTTAAATTCTCTGAGCACTACGGTATCACTATCAACAACATTTTTTCAGTGAAGGGTCTATGTAGAAGTCGTGACTAAATGTGAAATACCTAGTGATAAGTTCTTTTCTCATGTCATAGCTAACAGTTGTCAGTTAAACTGAATGTCCATTATAATGACTGGCAGACATGGAGTAAGTATGTGTCTAGTTTTTAGTGATATTGACTAAATTCTAACAGTCAATTTTTAGTATACTTACTGCTGTCGAAAAGTAATCATCCTAGCTTACTTTTTCAAAGTGTTGGATGGTTGAAGTCAATCGGCAGCATGTCCTCTACCTATGTGTTTTGAGGTTTGCAATCACAGTGGGAACATTAGTTCCACAACGGCTGGAGATGCGCCTTGCTGATGAGTTCCACTGAGCACGACACCTAGGGCCAATTTTCAACGACCTAACATTAGTGCCTTATATATATATATATATATATATGCATCATTAGGTAGATGATATTCGCGTATGATTGTCATACTCATTTGAGTTACTAAAATATGTCAGTTTTAATATCAAATGAGTTGCAAATCCTTGAATCAGCTTAGAAATATTAAAATCTTTCAAAATAAAATTGTGCATAATTTGTTTCTGAAGACACTGCAGAAAGTCAGATGTTGGATGTTTTAAATTTGCACTTGATGAATAGCGTGATAAAGTTTAGCCACACGTAGATTAAGTATACTACGAAGTATGCCTAGCATATTATCATAGATGCCATGAATTCCTATCACATTATTGAATGCACCTTTTAATAAGTCAGTGTCAGTAACCTTTCACAGTCTTATTCATTTTTTTTGGGAATGCAGTTAGCTAGCAGGTGAAACTATGTGCCAAAATTATCTAGGTATACATACATGTGTATTACGTCATGTGCTTCCTAATGTCATTCTTTCCCCCCTCCCCCCTTACAAATCTTCAGATGCCTCACATTCCTGACTACTGACATTTCACTGAATCACTGACGTTAAAAACTAAGATCAATTTTTTTCAGTATGAATATGACATTTTATCGAAATTATTCATCCGAATATTCAATGTTTATCATGTTTATGATTCGGATTTTGTTGATGCTTTATGATGCTTCGATAGATTATTTTCTTAATCATTTTCCTTGAATTTTTTTTCTTCTCCAATTTAAGGATAATTTTGGATTAAATGTGAACTTGACTGTCATTCACTCAGGGATATGTGTTTATCAAGGCGGTGTTAAAACAAATATGTTTTCATGGGCAAGAATAAGAAAATTAAGTTTTAAACGAAAGAATTTCTACATAAAAGTACATCCTGAAGGCTATGTGAGTCACAGTTATTTTTTAATGTACATATTTGTTTATTCTGTGTTAAGTTTGATAACGTATTGAAGACTTGTTTTGACCGGTGGGAAAAGTTATCCATACGGTGTATTAAATCAGGGGTAACAGTTCTCATCTTATTCATTACACAATATTTACAGGTTTCTTACTCTCTTCGTATATCAGTGATTCAGCTGTGGAATTTTCGCCAACCAAGTAAGTGGTAAGAGGTTCTATCCTCAGCCGACTCACTTATTAACCTCGTTTAGGCTGGTAGCAAGCTCGGTAAAAAGATTAGCAGCTGCACTTCTTAGAAGGCACTAATGCTACAGATACTTCAAAGCCGAAACTTGAAGCTCTGTGTTCCATTCGGAACGCAAAGGAATAAAATTTTAAAAAATTACACAAATCATAAAGATCCGTCTTTTTATGTTCACTAACCTTCTTGCTAAGTGCTGATTTGTTCACTTCTGCTGTTTTGCTCTCGTCAAATCTGATAATTACCACACAATTATCCTTTAGATTCTCCTCGAATTTTTCAAATGTTTCAATGATAATGTACATAATCTTCTAATATGTTAAGCTGTTGTCTTTTTTATAGTAATTAACATTACTTCTATGTTAGAAATTACATAGATCATGTGTCGACCTGTCAAGTGAAGAATTTAAGCTAAGTTGGTTTTTGAGCACTTTTTTTTTTACTCAAAATTGGTGTTTTTATCAGGATACTGACCACTCAGTTCTTTCAGTCGACGATTTCTCATTAGTGATTTCTTCTTCTTCAAGAAGAATATTTTTCTCTTATGGAATTATAGAACTTCTAAATTCAAGCATTTCTGGATTCATTAAGAGAAGCTGATGTTGCTTTGCTGGATGTTTTAATCATGATTTCACAGTCTTTACTATTCATAGTTTTTTGGGCTGTTCATTTAAGTTACCGAACGATAACTTGTTTTAGAGTTACTTCTATCCCATCCATTGTAACTGAAGTATGTGTGAGAAGATGATTAGAGAAAATTCGATTTCTTATGCATGCAGTCTTAGCTATGCATTTTTATTGTTGTCATCAGTGAAAATAATACAATCAGTAAGTTATGCTCAAAACCTCACCCACATATTAGTACTATATTGCATTTAAAAAAACCTATCTCGTTATGGAACTATACTCCGCCACAGTGATAAAAAAATGACACATATGAACATTCATCCCAAAGATTTCAAAATAAAAAAGATTGTTATAGGCTAGAAGGCCAATCACAACCTAATTTATTTGTATGTCAACTACTTTTATCTGATGTGCAACGTTGAAATGGCCTGGTGATGTTAACCATGACGAATCACTACAAATACTACAGTATTATAAAGCAATCTGGTAAATCTTTGATTAATTTGAACAAAATATGCAACATGGCCGAATTATATAATAAAGTAATAATGAAAAGGTTATAAGTCTTGCAAGTAATCGGTTTGACCATTTATCATGTGTTATAACTGTTATTTCCTATTCTTTATCCTTCGGCATTTGGACCGTCTTACTGCTTTCAAGTAGCTTTTTCATTACTCATCTCACGTCTTCAACTAGTATGTCAGCTATAATTGGAGAAGTATAATCACTGGTATTTTTTCTGTATAATCTCGATACTTTTAAACAGTGATGAAGACATTTTCTTTACTCAAGGTTAATTTAACTAATAAGTATCTTTTATGGTCAATTCTGATAGATATAATTATCATTTTGTGACTGATGGACGAATTCTACTCAGTCTAATAGTGGTCAAAATAATCAGTGACCATGAAAAAAGGCCTTAAGATTCTTTCATTCATTTTCACCAAAATTTATTCAGTATATTTTCGATATACATAATAGTATATCTGTATTGACTGTGAACTTCTTATAGGCAATTAACTGTTATCAGTAACAACGGCCAATAGGGATTTGTGTTGTGTTTTTCGTGACAAGGAACAAGAGACTTGTTAATAACTGTAGGAAAAAAGAAAGGGGAGGAAACAACTGTGATTGTGAAGCTGAAGGCTTTAGCTTAAGTTTCAAGTTGAGTGGCTTAAAGCAGAATCGTTGAACGTATAAGTGTATTAACCTGACATGTTTTTAAAAAAATGATTAACATTAGACATAAGCAAAAGAAAAGAAATAAATTATTCTTCTAATCAAATCTAAGCCCCCTTCAGCTTGAAAATAAAGCTCTTAGAAAATCATATAACTCCTTGAGGAAGTCCTAGAGACAGGCAGAATTATATGAATTATTATTGTTATTATTACATTACATTATATTATTATATTATATTATTATTATATTTATTAATGATAAAAACTCATGAAATATACCTCCTTCATTTATTGACAGTATAGCAAACTTAATCTTAAAAATCAGATTGGGAAACAAATAGATAGTGGTTACAGTATTTCATCATGAGCTGACATCGATTAGAGGACCACTGGAAAACCTGGTAGTACTCGACAGATGTCTTGTTAGCCTGGTTTGGTACTCTTCATCAGTACTCACCCACCACCAGGGTTCGAACCCAGGACCTTCTAGGTACAAGGCGAACTCGTAGACCATTAAGCCACTGAAACCCGATTCAATGACCAGTCCATGAATTCCAACTCCTGCCAATTCATGACATGGCGCGAGCACTAGTGGTTGTCACTGGCGAGCATTTGTCCTCACACCCAACATTCTGTATCCTATTGGTCACGACTTCCCACTAGAATATCGATCAGATTCTTACTAGTGACTGTCCCTATTCAAGTAGGTAGTTACTGGAGGTTCCAATGGGAAGTCGTGACCAGTAGGATACAACAGGTGGGGCGTGAGGACAAATACTTGCCACGGATGATATTGCCTAGTGGTCGTGTCATATCGTGGGTTGGCAGAAGTTGGAACTCATGGACTGGCCGTTGGATCGGGTCTCAGTGGTTTAATGGTCTATGAGCTCGCCTTGCGATTACAAAGCCCTGAGTTCGAACTTTGGTGGGTGCGTACTGACGAAGAGTCTCAAACAAGGAAGAAACAGTTGTCCAGTACTCTCTGCAGATTTTCCAATGGTTATTTAACCTATGTCAGCTCACGATGAGATCCTGTAATCAATCAATCAAATCCCCACAAACCAACACTTCAATACAAATCGATGTTATTTAACTGAATATATATATATATATATAATTTCACTTATGTAAATGTTTTATAATTTTTTTAATAAAGCAATTTAACTGTCTAAAATTGGATTTCCTGTTATAATAATATTAATATGAAGAAAGTATGGTTATAAAAGCTTTTCAGTTATAATGAGCAGTACACAGAAATCTTTGTTCATGTCTATAGTTAATGCACGCGTATATTATAGAATACAGATCATACGTTCAAAGGAATTCTTTTATTATTTGTTATCATTTGGCTTATTTCATCGTCGAAATTTATGGAAGTAACTTTATGACTCAAGGATCATTGTGAACAATTGTTAGGCCATTTTTGGTTGGCAACAAGCAGTCGAATCCAGAATGCTCACTTCGTCTTCTTTGGGACTCTTCAGATGAATGTACCTGCAACCCTCAGTGAGTGATGTTGTCCCCACCGAGACTCGAGTTCAGTAACCTTCATTACAAAGACTAAGGTGTTACCTAACTAGAGCACTTGAACTAAGACAGCCACCATCACTTGTGCAATGGGGATAAGTTATTATTTGTTTAAGTCAATTTTTGTTTTTCTTGTTAGTTGATTGAGGATGAAATACGCACCATGGATTCCAGTGCTAGTCAGTATCCACCGAATAACATCCCTACCAATCCTCAGACATCGTCAAAGCGTCCGTACTAGGAGCTGACGTATCCACATTTTAGTTCAATCAATCAACAGAGAAAAATATAAATTGGCTCAAGAAATGTAAAAATAACAAGCTAACTTTGAAAATTAAGTTTACACGATACACTCTCTTGTGTTTAAGGCAGTGAATCAATATTTATATTCAGTGGCTACAAGAAAATGTGTGTTGTTTTAACAGTAAAAGAGGTGATAACATTTAGTTATAATCAAGTACAAATCAACCAAAAATCAACCTTATTTCAAAGATACGAAGAATGTTATGAAATAGAACTAAACGCCTTTAAAAGGAGATCATGACAGTTTCGTTGTACATCATCTCTGCTCAGCAGATTCGTTTCATACATTCTCCACAACATTTTGGAAAATAAAATTTTTATCATAGATGCGTAATGATGAAGAGTCCCAAAAAAGGACGAAACGGGTGTCCAGTACTTTATGGTTTTTAATAATTCTCTAATGGAAAGCAATGCCTGATCAGACTTGAATTTACTTAGGCTGCTCTGTCTTCGTTTTCTGCTGGTCGACTTCTAACCTCTATAACTGATATGAATAAGTTTAAAAACAACGTTAAAAACATCCTACCAATCATTTTACTTGTGTGTAATTAGAAATTCCTATTGCGTCAGTAGACAGAAAAAAAAGAATGATTAATCCCTAGTTTTAGTCAAAACTTTTTATTCTTAAGAACGCAAAAATTTATCTCTATGAATTATTCATTCATCAATATTGTCTTTCCTATTGAATAATTAAACTCATCCTGTATGTATCGAAGATAAAATAAAACTATTTATGCTGAATAATTTTAATTAAACTTTGCATGCCTAAAATAATACCAGTCAGTTAACTTAGTTTTCTTCACTAAAATGTGAAGAGAATGTTAAGTAGAAGAAAGAAAGATGGTGGGTGAATGGGTGTGTGGGTAAGTGACTGTCAGTTCGGCTTTCAGCCTAATAGAAAAACGCTTCATACTGAAAATGCGAATAAGTTTCTTTCTTAACTCAGTGATGTATAGTTTAGAAAAATTCCAATGTTGGAAAAAAGAAACTATGTACACTCCTCCTAGAGTCATTGGCACAGCAGCAGAATGCTCGCCAACCACACAGGTTGTTCGAAGTTCGCGCCCCGTCCAACGTACTCCTTTACCTCGCTAATCTAGTAATAAGACTAGCAAAGAGGCAATGTTGGGCATGAGACTAGCCACTGTACCCCATAAAAATAAAGCCATCACTGCTATAGAAAGTTCAAGGCTCCAGATTACGGCCCTATGTTCCACTGAGAACGTAAAGGAATAAATAAAGCACTCTTCCTACTCTGTTAAAGAAATCCCCTATGAAAAACACTGATGTGGTTTCAACTAAACTGAATTGTGTAATATCATTCTTTGGTTCATGTGCCATAGTCTAGGTCATAAAAATATTTTAGTGTACTGCAAAGCTTGTTACTGCTTTTTTTTTTATTAACAAATAACTTTGATCTCATTTATTTTCCATGATTTTACTGCCAAAAGAAAAGTGGATACAACTCTTATTCATCACATCAATATGATTTAAATAGTTAATCGGAACAGGTTCATTGCTTTTGTGCATTTTCATAATGGACTTTTACCGAGGACATTTTTACAGTGACCGATGATTAATTAGCACAGAAGAAGCTTCTACTAATTCTTTAGATTTGATTAAAAGAAGTCAAATCATCGGATATAAGAGACAATTCAGCGAAGAAATTTTATCGACGAAATCATCTTCAGAGACTGTACAGTCGTATTTATATTTACCAAAAACTGTGTAGTAGTCAATTATTGAGTTATAGAGCGGTGACATAATCGATATAATTACTCAGAAGTGGCTTTAAAAGTAAAAATATAAGTTTTGAATTACATAGTACTCAACGGAACAAAGGAAGAAAGGGTTAGAAATGTGATAAGTATAAAATTGTTAGTGAATGAGGAGGAAAGCTATTTGAGTATCCATTTAACAAGTGTGGAGAGGATGGGAAAATGTACAAAAGTAACATGTGAGAGTGATATATATGTAAAACATAAAAATGCTTTACCAGCCTTACTTTCAAAGCCGCATATTTGTTGTCTCTTTCTTTCGAGAATTCAGTCAAATCTTAGAAGCAACACACCTTTGTAGTCGCTTCAATTCCTCTCATTTACTGATAGAGATCCATTTTGCTTATCAGAAAGTTAAATTATACTCACTCTATCACTATTTATTATATCAATTTACTAAAATATAGTGATGTTATATAGTGGTTTGTTTCACATGACATAACATAATGTCAACCAAATATTAAATATCATCATTTGAATATGTGATTTTAGTTAATGATGAACAAAGCGTAATAATGTCCACTCACTGGAATATCTACCCTCAAAATATTCTGTTTTACTTTCACATTAATTTTTTTATTAAATATATCACACAGTGAAGAAACAGTATTATTTACTGGATGACAAGGTTTTGAACACAATTTATTGTCCATGATCATACCAATTATAATCACACGTCTTCAAAACTTTTTTCTCTTCTATTTGTCGTAGGGGTAGTAGAATTTTCCAAATGTCTGAGATAGGTGTTCAATCATTCCTACTACACGTATTCCCTCTCAGTTGATTCGATAAATAATCCATGATCAACTCGTAAAAACAAAACTAACCCTTACAAACCAAACTATAGAAAATAAAGCTTCTATTATCAATCTCTGCCTCCACCCTGTTACATTAGATTTTAAAACTGTCATCTTATGCCATCCTATTGTATGACTGTGTGTAACTGCATGTAGTGAGTGGTATAGCTGAACTATTCTCCAGATTTCTTATCTTATTCGGGTCAAATAATCTAGATTTTGAAAGCATCTATTTCCCGATAAGAATTTAAAACAAGCAACAACCTCTGTCGCTTGTTTTAATCTAGATTTTGATAGGTTTATTCTGCTCCGCTAGTCTGACTGACTGACTCCATTCTACTACTTTGACCTGTGTATTTGACCTGACAATCACTTCAGACAGAGTATTAGATAAACTAAATTGTTTTGTTTTATTGGTTCCACAGGATTGATCATTTAACCGACAAAGTTTGTTTCTAACTGAGTTTGTGGGCTTGAATGCCACTTTTATCCCTGCCTGCATTGTTAAGAATTCTCCGTAAGGTTTGCGAGGTTCCTTCTTTGTATGGAAGTACCACCGATGATTTAAATTCCCTGTTGTTAGTGTTGTCATTATCTTGTGCACGTTTGACATGCATTCCGTCATTAATTTTATTAATACTGTTATTATCATTATTACTACAATAATTATTAATTTTGCTTTTACACTTTCCCACATAACTCCTGATTAATTTATCAGGGGTGGAATAAAGGTCTTAAGCAACTTAACTCTTTGACATCACTTTTAACCGATTCCTCAACTTCCCACAGGCTTTAATTTTCTTTGGATGCAGGATTTCATCATGAGCTGATATCAGTTAGAGAACCACTGGAAAACCTGTAAGTACTCTATATCTGTTTCGCCCTCGTTTGGCACTCTTCATTAGTACAAACCCACCGCCACTGTTCAAACCCAGGACCTTCTGGTTACAAGGAGAGGTGGTTCTTAGACCGTTAAGCCACTTGGACCCAATCCAATGGCCCATGAATTCTATCTTCTGCCATGGTCTTTTTCATGTCAGCCATCTCTGGATAACATTGCTTAGTTAATTAGCCAATAAGGCAATAACATGATGAAAAGTGTATAAGAACTGTATATATTGTTAATTCTTCCCCACTTGGAAGATAGGAGTTCTAGAAAAAGCCGAACAACTGATTAAATACTTTGAAAATTATGGAAAATTCAAAGCATTTGTCTTTTTAGAAAATTCATCACTTACTCAAGTTTAAAACTTAGATCATATGCGTGACATTCAGTGATTAGATGAGATAAGGCTTGAAAGTAAATAATGAAGACAAGCCTTATGTACTTTTCGTTCAGTAATGAAATGATTCATGAGTTAACACTGTATCGTATTAAATTTATAGATAACTTTTTCAAATGTTTGTTTCCGTTCCTCAGCAGCTCACGTAGTTAGACACAGAATAACCTTCATTTAATCTGCACAGGCCTTCAGATTTCATAAATACCTATTTATTTAAATAATTCTTTTTATAATAAAAATTAAAATATATGTATGAAATTTCATGTATTATTTTAGAATGCTATTGGATTCTCGTTTAGCACCCGAAATGAGTGTAAAAGCTTTTGGAAACAGTGTATTGAACATCATTCATTTTTCCGATGCCAAGCTGTTAGAAATGTCGGTCGAAAAAGTCGTGTTGTTTCTAAAGGCTCATCTTTTAGGTGAGTTTGACATTTTTCATTTGTATTTGTGTGCATGACTAAATAAACACTGTCTTAGTGATTGAAATCCTGTCATATTATTTGTTAAACTTTAATTTTAAGATAAAGTGTTTAGTGAGCTACTATATTATCTTCATTTTCGGATGCTGCTTGCTTGTGATTTGTCATGCTCTCAGTACATATTCTAACTTTTTGTAAAAAGCCCGTCACTTTATTCCACAATTCTTGATGTATTATTAGGTCCTTCAAGAGTAGACTAACTATCATGTCTTTATTATTTAAGCCCCTTTTCAAAATTTAATCTCTAAGTTAGAAATAATGCAGTTGTCTATTGGTAAGTACTGATAAAGTTCTTCCCGGTAAACGTGCAAGGGCATTAATCATATTGCTGTTCATTGTAAATAACACATTTTTCTGTTAACTGTCCATATAACTCAGCTGATTGTTTTCATTTATCTGATTTCTATTTCTGTTGGCATTATTCAGAAGAATAAATGAAAGCTACTGTTTCTTACGTAATTTATAATACTTCATTAAGTACTAATACAGGCGATACTTCTACTAAACTATTCTCTTCAAAAGTGACTTTCTGTTTAACTGACTGCAGCATACAATTTAATAGTTGTTAACGACCAAAATCTCTTATATTCGCTCCAACCAATGGTTTATTGCTATTCTTATTTGACAATAATTTATTCACTATCTTCTGCTCACGAACATTTAAGTTATGTTGGAATTTTAGGTTTCCGTTTTAGTTCGAATAAGTTTCATTTAAAACCAATTGAAATCACACAAGGCATGTAAATCACTAAAAACAGTTTTATTAGTAAATAAGACACAAATATTTGGGTTATCAAAAGCATAAGCTGGCCACCTTGCTTGTACAAGTTATCAGTAATTTGTTTCGATAACCTGACTGAAGAAACCAAAGAAATTTAATTGGTGGATGGTGACTAGCAATGGAATCCAGGATGCGCATTTCGTCCTATTTGAAACTATGGGCACTGAGTTCGAGCCTCGGTGGAAACATCATCACTCACTGAGAAATGCAGGTGCATCCAGATGATGAGTCCCAAATAGGACGAAATGCGCATCCTGGTTTCCACTGCTAGTCACCATCCACCAATTAAATACTAATTAAATGCCCAGACATCCTCGAAGCATCTGCACAAGAAGTCGACATGTCAACCTGAGACCAAGCACTTCTGTCCAATCAATCGACGGGAAAATCAAAAATCCAATTAAAACAAAGAAATGTTTTAAAAAATCTTTTGACATACTCTGTTATTTTCTGAGGGAACTACTTCAAAGTAGATAAGAAGAACATTACTAATGGAAATATGCAAAGGCATCGAAAAGTACAGGACAAGAGTATGAAAATATTAGATTTTCAAGGGATAAACCAACTGAACTCGTTATTGACCAACAAACCAATGGATCAAGTTGCATAACTACACAAATGAACTTCTTGTCTTCAGTATGATCGGTAAAATTTTACTAACGATAGGTTGATGTGTGAAATAAAGTTTTTGTCGCCAAATTATAATAAACCTAGGTACCAGTTGACTGACGGTGACAAACTGTGCAATCTAGAATGTGTATTACGTCCGATTTAAAACTCGTCGACTGGCTGTACCAGAAGTCCTTAGTTAGTGATAATTTTCCTAATAAGACTCGAACCGAACATTTCGGGCCAATACAAACAGTCTGCCAAAAGTAAAAAATTGACTCATTTTTACGAGTTTGACTACGGACTGATATCAGTTAGAGAACCATTGGAAACCAGGGAGTACAGGATAGCTGTTTCATGCTAGTTTGGGAATCATCGGCAGTATGCACCCACTGGGAAGAATGGATTTCCCACCGACGACACTAGTTGGTGGTCGTGCTTAATCACGAATCGGTAGAAGTTAGAATTCATAGGCTGGTCATTGAATCGGGTCCCAGTAGTTGAATGGTATACAAACTTGTCTTGTAACCGGAAGGTCCTGGGTTCGAACCCCAGTGGGTACGTACAGCCGATGATTCCCAAACTAGCATGAAACAGCTGTCCAGTACTTCCTGGTTTTCAATGGTTCTCTAACTGATATCAATCCATGGTCAAACTAGTAAAAACAAATTAAATCCTTACCAATCACATCAAGCGAGGAAAAATAATGGAATTATATTGACGAAGTTAAAAAGTTGTGTGAGTACGTTGATATGATTATGAGCAATAAATTGTGCTTGAAACATCATCAGTAAGTACTACGGTATAACACTGTGAGACTTTATCATAATAAATTTTACCCATAATGGAATTACAGTCTACCACAGTGCACAAGTTCTATTCTTATATCAATGTTACAAACCAACTCTTGAAAATTAACTTAAACAAATAAAAATTAAATATGGGTAAATGTCTAATAGAATATTTCATGCACAACTAAAATACTCCATTTTTCTCATAAATTGATTATCAAATTTAAGTGATCTTTTCTGTGATCTGATAGATTATCAAACAAGCTGTTTTGAGTCAACAAATATTCCCTTTCTGAAAATTATTCAAAATAAATGATGGACACAATCCACATATCTGTACACTTATATTCAATAAATATTCTGCTGAGAGGTTTCAGAATAAATTTAATAATAACAGTTATTAACTATTCATATGATGTAGCTCCTCTAACTACAACGTTTGCTTAATAAAGTTTCAAAGTTTCAACTATTGAGTTTAAAGATCTAGCTTCACTAGAAACATCCCTCACAGATCCAGGTACACGAACATTTAACTATCAAAATTCCGATATCATCAAATGAGTAACTTTAATTTAATAGTCCACTAAAAGCACCCTGAACAGTGCTTAACTGAATTTATTGGAAAAATAAAGCATCGATATTTGCAAGCCCATCTGCCAGTAGAAGACAAACAATTCGATTCTGTGCGAAGAAGTGAACAAAATAAGATGATGAGAACTGATCTAATCGAGTGGGCAAAGCGTATCATAGACGATAACAATTACATTAAGGGTAAATTTTGTTTTGATAGAGTCTCACAGTGTTATACAGTAATGTTTACTGATGACCACGTTTCGGGCACAATTTATTGCTCGTAATGATATCAAGGTAATCAATCACACGACTTCCTAACTTCATTTATATAGTTCCATTATTTTTCACTTGATTTGATTGGTAGTAGTATTTTCCATGTTTCGGGTATGAGTGATGAATCATTCCTATTGCATGTGTTGGGTGTAGACTCGATGAACAAGGATTCAGTAATCAACCTCTCTCTCTCCACCTATCTAGATTACTTTTTAGAATTTTAACTCTCTCCCACCCTATTTTGTGGTTGTGTGTCAATGAATGCATTGCAATAATTGAGCTTTTTTCTAAATTACTTATCTTCTCGGGATCAACCATTCTTACTTTAGCTAAATTCCTATGTTCTGAAAATCTGACTAAGCCTGACCTACTAGTTTGACCTATGTAGCTGACCTCACAGTGATTGCAGGGTATTTTGTAAATTATATTATTTTGTCTAATTGGATTAACTGGGTCCTTTAACCTACACAGCTTGTCCTACCTGAGTGAGTTTGCAGGTTTGAATGCCACCCTAATTCCTGCTTTATTTAGAATCCTACGTAGGGTCTCAGATGTTCCCTCTTTATATGGTATAACTGTAGATGACTTATATTCTCTCTTATTTATATTATATGTATATACTGCTCGATTTGTTAAACACTTCACTAAGCCTGCCTTAACAGTTAACGGATGAGATGAATTAAAGTCTAAATATCTATTAGAATGTGTTGGTTTTTTGTACACACTAATGTGCAGTTTACCTTCTTCTATTCGTTTTATTTGACAGTCTAACATAGCTAATTCTCCTTGTTCATTTTCCAATTCAAATGTGAACTTTATTCCCTCCACTAGTGAGTTTATGAGTGTCTAGTAGCTAGAGATATGTTCTGTTTTTAACACTGTGAAAGTGTCATCTACATATCTCCACCATATTTTTGGAGTATGATTAAACGTATTAAGAGCCATGTTTTCCCAGCTGTCCATAAATATGTCTGCTACGATAGAGGATATTGGTGATCCCATTGGTACACCTTCTGTTTGTGGATGTATTTTGCTTTGGAATTTAAAGATAGTAGATGTGAGGCATAACTGAATCCCTAAAATAATTTCTTCAATGGACAGCTTTGTCCTATGACTGAGTTCAGGATCCGCAGTTAGTTCTTTTTTAACTGCTCCTAAGGCCATATTGATAACAGTTAACCTGACATCCTTCGTAAACAAACACTCTTCTCCACATTATGATTAAATTTTACTGACCGAATATTTTTTTTCATTCTTACAGATACATGGGTAGGACACAAAAGCAGCTAACTGATTTTATCCGTGAAAACTACATAAAAATGCCTAATTTTGAGCGGTGAGTTTTAATTTTCACAAAAACGTCCAATTGTGTTGATGCAAATACTGATTACAATGGAATTTTCCAATACTCAATTATAAAAAATTCTCCACTATGTCATTGTACTGAATGTAAATTTATGTAACGATAAGGAGTTATCCGTCTTCTTTTTTAAGGTTTTTTTTATTTCGTCTTGAGTTAAATCATGTGCCAATATGTACTGCTGTACAGTAAAGACAAATGTATGTCATTAAAGTTTTACAAAATACGTTCACATGATCCTACCACTATTTCTTTCGAATTCGTAACTATTCATGATTCCACTAAGGATTGGACCTCAATGTCCACTGATAACATTAGTTGGTGTTAACGCTTTTTATTGTGAGCGGAAAATCATTGGTCAGTGGATTCTATTGCGATGGCTGAGTCGTTAACGAGCTTGTCTCTCAACATAAAGGCCCTGAGTTTGATTCCTGGTCAGGGCATGATTAAGTAGAACTCCAATATAGATAAGATATTATTTAGATGTATCATACAGTGTTATACATTAATACAAAACAGTTGTCCTCTAGTCATTGATTTTCAGTGGTTCTGTAACTGATGTCATAGCGTAACCTAACTTGACATCAGACAAATCATTGCAAACCAATGCTTAAAAATACAATGAAATTGTTACTTTCTTTGGTGTTGTACAAGTCTAACAGCATTCAGCATATGCAGATCCCATGGCTTCTATGCATGTCTTTTGATAACGATTATACTGAATTCACTTGTTGGTGATTCTGTGTGTCAGAATTGTGTACAATCAACTGAAAAGGAATTCATAAGCATTTTTAGCAGTTTCTGAAACACGAAGTAAATCTTTCACCAAGCATTTTGTTTTTGTTTGATATTATCTGCCTTAATTTGTTCAAAAATCAAAAACCTTTTGGTTTATTCAAGTAATGTTATTTAGAAAGAAACATTTTCTATGCCTTCGGTTAGGAAACTCTAAATAAAAGATTGACTCCAGGTGAACATAGAGAAACCGGAAACCAACCAACAGTAACAACAACCAGCACCAATCACCACCAGCGGGAGAAACTTGGAAGAGGTCGTTCCCTTCCCTTACCTAGGAAATATTATTTCAATAAAAGGTGGATGTCAAAGCAGGGCAGAATCAGAAAGCCAAGATACGCCTTCATCAACCTGAAATAAGTTTGGAAATCTTCTGCACTCAGCCAGTATAAAGAACAAGATTCAAATTTTCAACACAAATGTGAAGTCAGTCTGTTCTTCTACACGGGTCGGAGGCTTGAACAGTGTCACGAAAAGAATATCCAACAAGTTACAGACTTTCATCTACAACTGACTCCAGGCAATCAGAAAGAATAAGGCAACAAACCAACCAAGAGCCGATCACTTGACAAGTATGTAGGAGAAAATGGAGATGGATCGGGCATACGTTGAGGAGGCCGTCGAATAACATCGCGCTTGACGCGGGTCATCGCCTGAGTAGAATCCGAATGAGAAGTGACGAGTGGGCCGTTGTTGCGAGGGTGACATGGGGGATATCGTATGGATAGGAGATGAGAGATTATGGCCCATCGTAAAGCCAGCTTAAGAGGACAACAGAAGATCGGACAAAGTGGAGATGTGTTGTTGAAGGCTTCGAAATGAAAGATTGTTCCTCTGATTTAAACATTATTTCCAGTTATTCTAGATAATTAATAATGGTATTATAAGATTACGCACTGGTATCCTTAAAAAACCACGATTTATTGGACGATCAACTACGGACCAAAGTTAGACATCTTAATGAATAATTAAACCTGATTAGTAGTGTATAAATGAGGCATCAAGAAACAGGTTAGTCATGCACATTCATACATTGTAGTAGTCGCTACATCCACTATCGTACATGATAAGTTCACTGGTAGAATGATCCACAATCACGGAGGTGGACCGTGGAAAAAGGGAGAATTGTGCATGAAACTAGCGACCTCACAAGGTGTAGACCACACCGCCGCCAAATCACAGCTTAAAGCCCTATTTTACACTTGGAACTCAAAGAAGTAACAAAAAGTATAAATAAAAGTGTACAGCAATCTTTCTTGAAAAGCCTCGTGAAGGTCGACTTTCACAGATTACAAATGTTATAATTGTGGATAAGTAAAATGACTTGTAGAATCTAGGTGATAGTGTTGTGAATCTTAGTTTTCTTGTAGTTCAAAGTCGGCGCTAATACCTTTTAGAAATATTACCCGATTTTATTTACTTTCATAACTTTCATATATTAAAGTGCAGTCAATAACTCAGTTTACCGTAAATATTCAACATAATCAAATACTTAAAAAAGAGGAAAATAGGTTTTCAAAAATTTGCTTAAAATAACTAGTTGACAAACTTCAGAGCATTTTACTGACAAAGATAATGGATGAGCAAGAGTAACATATGGCTGAAAAAACAACAGACTAATTCAGAGAAAATATAAATCCTAATTGTAAAAAGTTGCATAAATTGTAGACTGTTGAATTGCAGATTATCGATTTTGGTTTTTTTAAGGTTTCAGAAGCTGTGGTATCAGTATTGCTCGATACAAAAATAAATTGGTGAATGTTGGTAAAAATAAAAGGGATAGAACAAACAAAACAAGAATAATTCAGTAGAAATATTTGAAAAGCGGTTCATTCAACCATAGAATATTAAAGTTGCATCGCCAGTACAGTAGACAAACTAAAATCTTTAAAATAAACTAAAAACAGGATGGATTGCTATAAATGAATGCGTTTTTTTATCTGCATAGTTATTGCCTATTACGTCTAGATTTTCAGTATTTATCACCTTTGAAATGAATCTTTTGCGTATCTCATTCATACCAGCATAAGCAGATATCTGAGCCTTTTCGTTCATTTTCTGTTCATCTCAAGTACACATTGAAGTTATGTCCATAATTTTTATGGTTTGTTCTACGATTTTCACCAAAATTTAAGGGATGTTGTCCCAATTTGAGGAAATTAGATGCAATATTGTGATTAATACTGAAAATTCCATTCTGTATCACAAGTACTGTTTTTGGAATAAAGTAAATCATTATTATTATTATTATAACAACCTTTACTTACAATGAATTGCGTGGGCTTTCTTCGAAAAATTAAGGTATGCTGGAAACTTCCATAATGATTTCTGGTGACTTTATCTAAGGGTAGTTATTACTATGCAAAATAGATCAGTAAAATGGGTGAAAAGAATTCAAAGTTTGTTATCACTACTGTAGTTCATTCATTGAGAAGTGCCCTGGAAAAAATTTGATTTCTACGAGAACAGCTGTTGTATGACATTTTGAAATTTCTGAAATTCGTTAACTTTAAACCCATTATCATTAGTCATGGATATCTTTGTCCTACTGCAGTCATGTTTTGTTAATCCCATTGCTTCACACGGTTGCCAAATTCCCGCGCGCAAATACTCCTAATTTTATTCTGTGAAAGCATATTCACGTAAGAAATACTTTGAAAAAAGTACCATACAAATTAGCGCATAGATACATGTATCATTCTTTTGCCTTACGAGTTGAACACATGGCTTTAACCTTTAAAGTAACAGTAGTGCCTGTGGTGTTTTATGGCCTTACTGAAGGTAATTAAAACAGGCGAAGACTATGAGTCTGTCGGCTTGTAATCGAATGCCCGATCACGTGCGTGATTGATGAGTTTTCCATTCATGAATCACCGACACATATTAATGGTTTCATGAAATTAGTTTCCTGCATTATAAACCACGAAAACGGTTAAAAGCAGTAATTAAATTTAGAAACTATATTCTCTTCCTAAAATCATATCTTTGTTGTGTTATCAAGGATTTCAGAACATTTTTGTATCAAATGTCACACAAACTAGTCGCAAAACAGACTGGTTATAACTTATGACGTTAACAAAGAAGAAATAAAGTTTTTTTTGAACAAACCAACTCTTGAAAATTAATCTGATGCTAGCTAGTGACTGGCTACAGGACAGAGTTTCCTGAAGTTCTAGTGAGAAGTCGTGACCAGTGGGGTCCATCCTGTCGGAAGTTGCGACAAATGTTTGTCATCCATGAAGTAGGAATTCATAGGCCACTGAGTCAGGTCCCACTGCCTTTTACCCGGAAGGTCCTAGGTTCGAAACCCAGCGGGTGCGTACTGCCGATGAGTCCCGAAATAGGACAAAACTTCTCCAGTACTGTCCGGTTTTCAGTGGTTCTCCGAGTCATATCAAAACACGGTAAAACCTTTTAAAAATGGAATCCCTATAAATCAACTCTTGAAAATAAATAAGTATCATTACGTAAGAATGTATTTATGAAAAAAAAGAATGAATTTATCCACAATCAAAATACGTTATCATTATGAAGTATACCGAAGAACAATAACACTGTGAAATTAATGATGATTGATTTTCTTTCCTTCCATGTATTGAGAAAATGAATTTTTCACTTTAATTGGTGGATGGTGACTAGCAGTGGAATCCAGCTAGGATGCACATTTCATCCTATTTGGAACTCGTCAACTGGATGTATCTGTATTCCTCAGTGAATGATGATGTTCCCACCGAGGCCTAAACTCAGTGCCCATAGTTTCGAACGCCAAAGCCTTATCTACTAGACGACTTGGGTCACAAGAAGTCGGCATGTCAACCTGAGACAAAACACTTCGGTCCAATCAGTCGATGGGAAAATCTAAAATTATAAGTTTTCATGTAGTTCTCATATTTTTCTGATACACTTTGAGTAATGAAATCCAAGGTTTTCATGAGTTAATACAAAATTTTGGTAAAAATTGTCTATAGAAAAAAAAGCTTACATTTATCTCTTCGTAATCATCTCTATTCAGTTTAATGTATTCTAACAAAAGTGAAATCATCTTATGACATTCTCAACTGAAATTTTATTTTTTGTAAAAACACTGAAATTTGATTGTCATTCTCATCAGTTTAAACCAGTGTATTAAATTCTGAGCATTAGATGTGAGAATAAACTATTGTTAACAATAGTTTAGGGAA